TATAAAATTGGAACGCACGACATAAAACTGAGACGCATGGCAACGATTTTAACATCAAATGCACGACTTTTTCATTTGAAATTAAGACAGCAGGGAAATTGCTAGATAGAAGCAGGGTGATATCCGCCGGAAGTTCGACTAATATAACAAAAGTGAATGCTTATTATCTGACCTCTATTTCCATTCATCGCTATTCGAGCTATCGCCGCACATTTGAGAAGCCCGACGCACTGGGACATAATCAATGGACATAATCAAATTTTCTCCCTCTATTGGTCATATAGTTCTCGATCTTCAAACTTCTAGGTGTAGATAAGTCCGACTTACTCAAACTCTCAGGTGAGGGTCCTGCTCTTTCTTGGCTCCTTAGTGAAGGTGACCAGAGCTGTGGCTCTATATATTTAACCTATGAGGCTAAGAGACTTTTTATACGAGAGAGAATTGCTAAACCCATTGATGAGCATATCGTAAAATTTCCACCCTTTATGATGTTTACCGCAAAATTTATAAACTTCACTTATTAGTTTTCTTTCATACGGCAGCACAAATAGCAAAAGTAGAGATCCAATATGCGTCCACAAACAAGCGAAATGTCGCAATTGCGTACTTCGGCACCGCGACGGATTTTTGCTAGTTAGTAGCAACTTCTGAACTAAAAAATTATAAAAAACAAATAGGAATTTGGGATGGAGTCAGCTGAATTATGATAGTACGCAAAGAGATGTTGATTGTTTGTAGATGCATACGGAATCTCCAAAAATTGCTTGAACACGAACAACGTCGACTGTAAACTTCACGAAAGAAGATTGAGATATAATAAATTTGAATAAAATGATTTTGCTAGTACTTACTTAATGCGTCAAAGGAGGGTAGGAAAAAGATAAGGCGCGCATAGCATTCAGCTAAAATGGTCAGTGTGATAGTTACTCTTATGGCTGATCTAGAAGGCCGTAACCTTCGACATAAATGTGGAACAAAAAAATTTCACATTCAAAACAATCAAACAGAATTTCTTTTGATAAAATGTTTTATTCTCTTCTCTAGGATAAGTGAACTACCTCAGCCGGGTATAAGACCCTCATCGCATAAGCCGCATGCTCACCGTGTTTCCGCGTCTGTTGAATCAGATCTACATGCTTCTCAGCTGTATTTCTCAAAAACCGATCATCAAATGTTTAATAAACCGCATCAAAATCCAAATACTAATGATAATAGTCAACAAGTCAAACTCTAACTCATTATCAACTAGTTCCTGGTCGAACTATATTGAAATCATTCTCGATTTGGGTATGCTTCCACAACAACTTCATGCAAATGCAATGCAAAGTGTTCCTTCTCAAAATCGTCTATTTTCTGAACCTATACCTCCGCTTTCATTTTGACCGCGACATACTTGGGTTGAGCGGAGCGTCTCCCGTGCTCTTTCGTAAGACGCACGCAGCATGTTGCGCGGGCGTATGATCTTTGAAAGCGAGGCTACTTGCAGGCTGTCAGGGTGGCAGAGGCGGCTGGTGCAAGCTATCGTTATTCTTGACCGCCCCTTCTCACCCTAGTAGCTTTCTACCCCATCCTTTCCTCAGCGTCTTGTTGCAGTTGAAATGAACAACAATGCATTTTCACATTTGAAATAAGTTCTTTCAGGAAGCTGCAAGGATTCAACCACGGCTCCTTTATGTGGGGTCTTTGGGCACGTGCAGAGATTTATGACCCAGTTGCAAGTCTCATAAAGGCTGATCAAGGTTGATACTTGTAGAATAGTTGAATAGTTTAATATTGTGTATGATTAAAGATTTGATGATTTGTTAGTTCTTGCTTATTAATTTAGGAACAATAATGAGCTAGACATCTTTAATTATGAAATATTATATAAAGCTCGAGAAAAAAATCTTACAACTCGGATGTACAACACAACAATGTCAAAACCCGTATTATCAAGAGAATCGTACTATAATTCGTGTTAGAATTGCAAAATGATGATAATGAGGCCATAAAATATCTAGATAGTATTTGAAATAAAATCCAACAAATGAAGCATTACCCGTTTGGGATAGATCATGGCTAATATCTCCAAAAACAGTACCTCTATTAAAACATCCAAAGAGGATGCTTCAACTTCTCGTATGATACGCCAGCGCTCAATTGCACCTGAGGTATTTCTGCATATAAAGTGAGGTTCAAAGTAACTGGGTGTCGCTCCCTTGATCGAAGCTCCTAAAATGTATAACTAAGAGGGAATAGCCTTTATATGGTTGGGTTTTACTTCATAAGCTATTGGGTGGTGAATGGACTTAAAATTCCTCAGTTGGTCATGAGTTACGAAATTCAGATGTTGCACACCAAAATGGGTTGGTATAGATGTTTCCTTCATAAACGTCTCCGAGAAAATCCACAGACCAATAAAAAGATTCTCTTTTTTAAGAAGGATTCTACCAGTAATGTTTCGTTAAAAACACTAACTGAGTATGTTTTACCTTCAAAAGACAAAAAAAAATGCTGCAGGTTGGAAATCGAGGTACATTTTATAAACAATGAGATGTGGTTGCCTCAAGATGTTGTTTAAGTCATCCACTCCGAATACGCATGAGCCAGTTGCAATTCTGCCTGAATAACGGTATATGTATGCAGTTTTAAAACTTTTCCTCACTGTTTTCACTACCATCATTTTCAATTTCTTGTCGGAGGTCAACTCACCCCCGCAATTACCGTACCAAACTTGATGCCTGGCAAGATAATAATTCAATTTATCATCTTTTTGCTTTGATTTTTGGTAATCCTGGAGTTCTTTAAAGTGATTCTTTTGATACTTGTCGCGAAACTTTGTCCATTCTTCACCATTCGCGCCACCAGGTACGGAAAATTCTGATAAAATAATTAGAAGGGTATGGCTAATGAGAAAATATTTTTAAAAATTTCGAGGGACTTACTTTTAGAATTGCCAGTAAGTGTTGCCCAGAATGTTTCATCTGGTACACCGGTTCCATTGAGAAAGTGTAGCAGTTCCCATGCTTTTTTCGTCTAGAGTTGATCGGGGGTATTTTGAAAAATTTTGTTCTTTTTTAAATTATTTTTTAGCCGCCCACGAGATTGCTGATAGACTTATTTGAAGTTCAATGATTTAATCTGCGTACACACTGTGCTATACCGACTTCGCCTTCGCTGGCTTTAGACTATCATAATAACTTTGAGCATTTTGGCACTGATTTATTATTTTATATAGTTTAGTGATATTAATCTGTTGTGATTTTTGCTAGAATTAAACAAGCAATTTTCAGAAAGCTAAAAACGACAAACATCTAGCTATACGCAAAATGGTGCCCATTT